AATAATTTCTCCTGGTTCTTCATCATCATCATCATTGTCTAATACAACTGTTTATGGTACTTCATCAGCAACACAAGCATGTCGATATCTTTTATTTTTCATCAGTTGACTAGAGCCCATCGGGTCCAGGTCCGGGATTAACTTCTGGCCAGAGACAGATGGTCATCGAACAGATTCTATACTAATTTTTGAACGGATGATACATAATAACATTAATTCAAATCATAAACTCAGTCATTTGAGTATCGAACGATTTCCTCATCGACAATTTGAGGATGAGTTTAGATGAAGAGAAGACCCATACACCCTCTAGATGCCGGCATCATCATCATCATCATCACTATATTGAACAGTCGACTACCAAAGCGAAAAGAAAAGTGTTTCAGCAAACAACTACAAAATTTGATTGAAAATTCACATATAAACGCTAATGATCAGTTAAAGTATATCGGGCGTTGCTATTTCTTATTGATTTATTTATGTAATCTTACGGAACAGTTAAATAATATATTCGAATCTTTTTTTTGTTGTGTGTTTTTCTCAAAATTTTCTTCAACAAGGATCTGTCTTATAACGAAAATGCTCACACATAACTGTCTGACTTCCCTTGGTTTTCGAAAAAAATCGTTTTTTTTTTGTGAATGTTACCATAAACCTACCTTCAGTTAAAGGTCTAACATAGATTAACGTTAATGAAGTTACATTTACTCTCGACAATCTATGAACTTTTCAAAATTTAAAAATACTTTCTACGAGCTTTTGTATATTCGATGTTTAAATGAAAATAGTTTTAAAGTAAAATTCAAAAAGATGGATCTTCAGAAAATATAATTCTCGATCATATGAGATGAATCCTCAATGATGTTAAAATCGAATATGATAATATTACCTTTATTACTATTAACATTTTTATTTTGTGGTACAAGATCAAGATCAATTTTAACATGATTTGGTTGCATACTCTTAATAAGTGATAACATTGTTTGACTATATGTAAAATCATCAAGATCTTCATCATCTGTATTTCCACTGTTTATTTTTGTTTTCTGACTTAAAATATCATCAGATTCATCTGTTTCAAAGCCATCTATACTAAAATCCGAATCATTACTTAATTCATCATTAGTTTTTAATAATCCATTAGCTAAATTTGTTGCTAATAATTGACTTTGTGCAAATGCAGCAAAATTAGTTAATGAAAGATTTGTTACAGTTAATGAATCATTTGATGATGATGATGATGAACCATCACGTCCTTTAGTTACAATTGTTGATGAATTACCAAAACCAAGACCTAAATAAACCAATTGAATTCATTTTAAAACAGATCATTTCTTTTCTTTTTTTTTACCAAGTTGTGTTAAATCAAATTCTTCATCATCATCATCCGAACCAGTTTCTTTATCTTTTGCTCCACTATCATCTGAATTATCTGAACCAAAATCTGTTTCTGAATCTCGTCGTGGTTTTCTTGATATTCTTCCACTACGTAAAACTTTTCCTGGTCGTTTTGGTTTTTCTTCTGTTGTTGTTGTTGTTGTTACTGTTACAGATTTAAGTTTAACTGGTTTACGTTTATTTCTAATAGGTTGCTGTTGTTGTTGTTGTTGTTCATTTAATTTAGGAGATTCTATTTTTGGTTGAATTAAACGTTGATTCGATTGAAATGAACCTGTTGTTAAATGATTAACACCACGTGGTGGATGACCATGATGAGAACCACGTCCAGCTCGACCACGAGGACGTCCACGAGTTGTACCTCGATAAACTCGATTACTTTCTATGAACAAAGAAAAACAAACTATTAGCATAATTATTATAGGATTAAAATGTGAAACACGTATGTAACTGCTGTTGCTAATCACAAAGAGAGAGGGAAATGTTATTAAGGCATCTGTCTATGATTTGCAGATTCAAATTTCTACCTCTATATTTCAATACTCCTTTTAGATCGTGTTTCACATAATTCAATCTTTAAAATATCAAAAATATATATTGTTTTTGAATACCATATTTCCTGAATGGCATGTCGAATTCATCAATATTTTCTTCTTGTTGAAAAAAATCATCACCAAAATCATCATATTCATTATCAAGTAACATTCCATCTTCATCTTCATAATTATTACCAGTATAATAATCACGATAATAATTACTACGTGGATAGGATGTATGAGTTGTTGGATACGGACGATTATTATTATTATTAGTGGAATAAGTATTGCTACGATTATGAGAAGGAAATCTATTCATTGTTTGATACTGTTCATAACGTTGCCAGATTGTTTCATCAATATCATTTTCATTTAAACGTTTAAGTGTAACTTTTGTTTCATTATATATATCTTAAAATATATATATATATATTAATACAAAAAAATTCAAGAAAAACTTACTATGTATACGTCGTAATCGTTCTTCTAATAAAGATCTATTGGATGGATTAAATCGTGACATAGAGATTAAATCTAAGAAAGAATTTATATTTTAACATATAGAAGAATTTATTTATTTACTATTCGATACTGGCAATTCATTCGTATAATGATTTTGTCCATTGATTTTCTACAAAAATAAAGAAAAGATTTTATAAAAATGTAATTTTTTTTGTTATATCATCAGAAAGGACAAACCATCTAAATATTCCATTGCATCTAAAGATTTTTGGATATTTTCATTTTCGAACAAATTATTTGAAAATCTAATAATCATTTTTTTTATCGAAAATGACATCCTCTATTTGCATTCTTTCTAGTGATTAAGTCAGTGAGAAAAAAACTGAAGTCTTGTATAAAACAAAAGAAATCTTTGTTTTAAATATTCTCATTGACTTACTGATGAATAATTATAATTATTAGTTGAATGAAAAAAAAATTCTCGTTTTTTAACAAATGATTTTCTATCTTTTTCATCATTATCATTATCAACAATTCCATCTATCTGACCATGCATAATAAAAATATTTTCGTTTGATTTTATTTTTAATTTAATAATATCAATAAGATGTTCATAATCAATATTTGATGTTATTAATTCTTTAAAATGATATGGTATTAAACCATCTGTAAACATTGATAAAGATTTTTGATCATCTAATATTGGTATATAATCGATCGTTGTTGACATTATATTTGTCACTGATGGTGATCTATCTAATGGTATAGATGCTAAATATTTTTACAAAAAAAAAAAAGTTAATTGTTTTGTGTAATTTTACAACTTACTAGCTTGAAGATCAACTGTTATTTTTATACAACGTGCAATATCATTATATCGTTTTTGTAAACGATAAACTAATCATTTTTTCTGGTCCTGTTTCATCAAGATAGGATAAAAGATTTTCAAATTGATCCAATGTAGAATAATATCGTACATCTTCACCGGTTTCATCCTCTCTATAGAAAATTGTTTGATAATAAAATAAAACAAAAGACATTTTTAAATAATTACTTACACAAATAGACGACGACAAACAAACCAATATCTTCATTGTTCTCGATCATGACCAATACAAAAACAAAAAGACATTTTTTTTTTTTGTTATTTTCTTTTCTTTATTTTAAATCATTTGTCAGA